AAAAAAAAAAAAAAAAAAAAAGAGTTCATCTGTCCAAGCTTAAGACACTAAGCTCTGAGAAGTTAAACATCTTGATTAAGGTCATAGGGATGAATTCCCCTTATTCCTAATCCAGAGATTTTTCTTCAAGCCCAAAGGAAGAAAAATGGGGAGTGACCTGGTGAAAAGGCAGGGAGTTTGGTTTCAATCTTTTCAGTAAAACACCTACAGGCCCTATTAAGGGGGCTACTAATGTAACCTGGATTTCAACTGTCATGGTAAGGAAGCTCCATTTTATTGTTATTTGTAAATATTAATGATATGTTTCTCCTAATATAAAAAATACTACTGGGCAGCACCCATAGCTCAGTGGTAGGGCGCCAGCCACATACACCAAGACTGGTGGGTTTGAACCTGGCCTGGGCCAGCTAAAACAACAAAGACAACTGCAACAAAAGAAAAATAGCCAGGTATTGTGGCAGGCACCTGTGGTCCCATCTACTTGGGAGGCTGAGGCAAGAGAATCACTTAAGCCTGAGAGTTTGAGGTTGCTGTGAGCTGTGATGCCATGGCACTCTAGCCGGGGCAACAGCTTGAGACTCTGTCTCAAACAAACAAACTACTACTCACCAGGAAATTTATTTTCTTTATTAACGTTGTCTATTGGGGGTAATGGGAGAAGAGGAAATTTAGATTTTTAGGTATTCATATTTATACTGATTATGATGAATTGGAGAGAGATGTTGGAGTCAACTCCCAACTCCTAAGGGTATCCAAGGCCTCTTCCTCATCAGTTCACCTGAGAGGATGTTTCTAACTTAGTATAATGCCTTAGTTCCTTGGCATTTCTTTCTTTTTTTAAAGTATATTATATTTAAAATATATATATATAATATTCATTTATTTATTTATTTTTGGTTGCAGCTGTCATTGTTGTTTAGTGGGCCCAGGCTGGATTCAAACCTGCCAGCTCAGGTGTATGTGGCTGGTGCCTTAGCCGCTTGAGTTACAGGTGCCAAGCCAGTTCCTTGGCATTTCAATGAGCCTTTTTCTCTGCGTGATGGCACCTGTCTAAGGCTGTTCAGACTAGATGAATCCAGTAAGAAATTACTTTTTAGCACTTCAAGTTATCTAAAGATGCCTAGGGTGGTGCCTGTGGCTCAAAGAAGTAGGGCACTGGCCCCCTATACCAGAGGTGGCGGGTTCAAACCTGACCCTGGCCACAAATTGCAAAAAAATAAATAAAATAAAATAAAGATGCCTAGGTTCTCTGGGATTGAGGAAGTAGTATACTAAAGAAAAGTGAGTCTAAATTCTGATTGTTCCTTCATGAGGCTCTCTGTCAGATCGTGGGTATGGCTTGGGGAGAAGGCTATCTGGTTTTTGTCAAGGTAAGAGTCTGGGGAAGGGGAAGGGAGAAATGGAGAGAGAAAAACAGGCACATGCTGATTGGGTGCTGACCGTGTGCCTGGCACTTTATAGACACTGGCTGATTGGATCTTCACAGTAATCCCAGGATGTCATTTTTATTTTGTAGATACAGACATTACTATCAGAGAATCACACATGTGACTCTGAAACCCAGGAGATTTCATAATAAGCGGAGGTGTCTTACATCAGTGATGTTTATGGACAAACACGTGTCTGTCCGCTTTTCACAGTCAGTAAGGAGTCCTGTTGAAGTAGAACGGTGTAGTGAGGGTCTCCCAGTGTTTTCTTCCCACACGTTCTGAGGGTATAGGTCCGAGTGGGGCTTTCTCTTGACCTGCAGTAGGGCCTCACACTGTTCTTTGCCTTGTACCTTGGCTTTTTTTTCTTTCTGGCATTGGCATCACCTGACATAAACTTATTTATTATCAGTTTCTTTTACTAGAACATAAGCTTCATGAGATATGATGTAAGTTCCATGAAATCAGGAATTGTATTCAGTCCGACTCCTAAAAGAAGGCCTGGCACGTAATAGGCACGCACTAAACATCTGATGCATGGTTTGTTAACAAAAGGCGATAGGAGAAGCCTCCTGAGAGACGGAAGCTTAGATGTCAGCATGGCCCTTAAGTAAAGATCACAACCAAAGAGATTATTCACATAAAGAGAAGTGCAGAAGAATGAATGGGATGTGGAGAACAGATGAGAAAAAAAGAAAAAGAAGGAAGAGAGCCACTCATTCCCAAGTTCTCTTCAATGCAGTACACAAGAAGATGATTCCGACTTTTTACATGTGAAAATGTTTGCTGTGTCAGCTCCTTTACCTAACAGTTACACTAAGAAGGAATTTAAAAATTAGGATCAAAGCAGCAGCTGCTTTCCCATTCAAGTACCAGTCAAGAGAGCCCAAAGTGACAGTTTTCCTACACAGCTATAGCCTCTTCTGTCATCTGTAACTGGCCTATGACATTTTTGGAAAAGACATTTTAAAAAGTTAGTACTGAGGTGGGTGTCCCTGGTTCCTTCCCAGGTCTGAGCATGATGAATTGACCAACCCAACACAATTGCAGGTGAAACCTGCTCTGTGGCCGGATTCCACAGAGGGGCGCTGTTCACATGCAAGGCCCTGAGAGGAATTTCTGATCCATGGAGTAAGTGGGACCGCATTGACCAATGAAAATGAGGGCTGTCTGGGAGTCTGGCTTTGCATCTTATAAACATTGATCTACTTTGAGGCAGGTGAGGGGTAAAGGTAAGAGAGAGTAGATTAGGTCAGGAATGATTCACTGGCGTCCCCTTAAACCACTGTGCCTTGGTGACACGTGAGGCTGGCAGTGATTGAGGTCTGACTCTCCAAGAGCAGAGCTCAGCCACAAAGGTCAGGCTGCATCAGGCCTCAGGGAGGCTGCCCACGTCATCTGTATCCTTGGCTCCTTCCCTGGTCTCAGGCTTCTGGGCCATAGAACCTATTTCCTGCCTCCCACTTTAAAGTCTTGGAGGAGAATTCCAGTGGCATGCAGAGAAAATTCAAGAAGAATCCTTTCCTCCCATCTCCTTTAGGGGGTAAATTTGAGGTTTGGGTAAATTTTTCATTGTACAAAGATGCGTAGATAAAAATTCCCCCCATAAGAGAGTTTACATAATTAGGGCAAGAGGGCATCACGTGCAAGAACCATCTAAACATTTTGCCAAGGATTTACTGAGCATCTCCTGGGTCTTCATGGAACATATATTCTAGCAGCGGAAAAATTTTTCCGAAGGGAATAAGGCATTTCAGGTAGCATCTGTTCTGTTCTGTTCTCTCAAAAACCTGAAGGATTCCATAGCTGTTCCATTGAGTTCAGTATCCCTGGGATATGCCCACACAGGCACAAGAGATAAGCGTAATGAATGGAAACTCGTTTATGACAGGGAAAACTGCAAAGCACCTAAATATCACGAGAGAAAAAAGTGTGGTTTGTTTTTGATCAAGCATAGCAGTTTAATATGGGGCCGTGCCAAGATTTTCAACCCACAGTACCACTCATTGGTCTTAATTTCTTCATCTGTAACATGGGGGTTACTAACAGTACTTACCTCCCCATCTCTTTGAGCATTACCTGGGAACGTACAGCTGTCAGAATAGTGCTTAGCACTCATTAAGCACTTAATGTGAGCTGTGTTTATTATTTTGCTGATAATGGAGGGGTGTGTAGCGGTTAAAAGGAAGGCACTAAGTGTATATGTCAGCCTGAATATATCTAAAAAATGCAATGCTCCTTCATTTTTTAATTCAATAAATATTTACTGAGTGTCTACTACGTTCTAGGCAGTGTTCTAGGTACTGAGAATCATCAGTGAACAAATCAGAGATCCTGCTCTTGAGGACCTTATGTGCCAGAAGTAGGGAAATAGATGTAAAATATAAGGACACTGTGAGTTACGCTAAGAGGCGGCAGGTGCTGTGGGAAAGGACAGTGGAGCGTAGTAAAGTGCCTGGGAATGCCGGAGTTAAGGTGGGGTGGTTGGATTTTAAGCCAGCAAAACAAATATAACAAAATATTAATGATTATGAGCTCCAGGTAGTGGGCATAATGTTATATTATTTCCATTGTCTTTTTTTTTTTTTTTTGAGACAGAGCCTCAAGCTGTCCCCCTGGGTAGAGTGCTATGGCATCACAGCTCACAGCAACCTCCAACTCCTGGGCTCAAGCGAGTCTCCTGCCTCAGCCTCTCAAGTAGCTGGGACCACAAGCGCCCGCCACAACGCCCGGCTATATTTTTTTTTTTTGGTTGCAGCCATTATTATTGTTGTTTGGCGGCCCGGGCTGGATCCATTGTCTTTATATTTACATTTTTCCTTGAAAATTCTTCTTTGTGATATGAAAAATAAAAGAATGATAAGGAGTCTGAAATACAAAGGACGTAAATAAATAAGGCTAAGAAGCAGAACATTAAAAAGGAGCTAAATGAAAAAATACATATTTAAAAGAACCTAAATATAGAATTTTTTTTTTTGAGACAGAGTCTCAAGCTGTCACCTTAGGGAGAGTGCCGTGGCATCATAGTTCACAGCAACCTCCAACTCTTGGGCTCAAGTGAGCCTCTTGCCTCAGTTTTTCTACTGAGACCACCGAGAGAAGGTGGTCTCGCTTTTGTTCAGGCTGGCCTCAAACTCATGAACTCATGAGCTCAAGTCCACCCACCTTAGCCTCCCAGAGTGCCAGAATTATAGGTGTGAACCACCTCGCCGGACTAAATGTTGGAATTTTAAAGTCTCTTAGGAATAGTGGAGGTCAGAATCACAATGCAAAAAATCAAATTATGTAGAAGACATTTATGAAAATAAATATAACCAAATATAACCAGAATAAATATAACCAAAGCAACAACTACAGGTATAATAGAACATATTTTAAACTTGAAGATTTAGATGTGATAACAAATTCATTCCTAGATATATGCTGGTAAGACTGTTGCAAAAGCTGTTAATTAACTACCCTTTCTTCCTTAACTGTATTTTGTTGGGTGGGGCAACATGCCCACTGCAGGTTTTTAGGGTTTTTTTGAGACAGAGCCTCAAGCTGTCCCCCTGGGTAGAGTGCCGTGGC